TGAGCACCCGAACTGCAAATGGATTCAGTCAGGCCTTTTCAGAATTCCAATAAAGACAATAACTCTTAGTAAACTCTTTGTGGGCAGGGATTCTATTTCTTTGTTTTGTAAAGTGCCAGCCACCTTTATGGCATCAAATAACATTCTTTGGTGGGGACCTAGAAAAACCACAACTGGGCATATAAAAGTAATGAATGTCTCACATACATTTTCATGTTTGGCCTCCCTGTGGCAGTGTGGTGATTGTGGTTTTTGTGAAGTGGTACTGGATTGAGATCACCAAACATCCATCACATGGTAATGGCTTCCAGTCACTACCAAGATTTTGCCAACGTTTTAAGCCATATTCAAGTGGTGTAAGGCTCCTAATTTCATTACCAGGCTCCTGAATCATTCCACCATTTCATGTGCTAAATTTAAGGACAACAAAACTAATGACTTATTTGTATTTTAGTCTAAAGTAGTGTTTTTGTAATTGAATAATCTTTTGGAAATTTAAATCAAATCCACCACAACAGCAAAGGCTACCTGGAATTTAGGTGGGAGCAATCCAACATTTTCTGCAAGTGGCAACATCAGGTGTAACTTCCATTTTCTGTAATTAGATTTAAGCCAGCATCCTACTAGTTATTTCATCATAGGGGAAATGTGGCTAGCAACAGATTTGTTCTCAGTAACCAATCTAAACTTTACTGCAGTTCAGAGCTAGATTCAGCAACGCTAATGTACTTAAATGAAAAGGTATATTCATAGGCCGGCACAATTATACAATATGTTGAATTGGTAGTGCAAGAGTTAAGGGAAGAGAGGCACCACTCTCCAGGAAGTAAAGTATTAACTTTGTATTTTTATTAGCTATTGAGCAAAACCATAAGGACTTCTGTGTAGTGAAGCCTCCAAGCTCATTTTGAGTCGCTGCCAGTTAATGCATACATTTGGCATGCAGTGTGTCCGGCCTAAGTGTAGAAAATACGGATCTATCACAGTTTAGAAATAATATTTTCCTAATCCTTGGAGTGAGTGAGTAACAAGAATAACCTGCTTAAAATGTTAAGAACACTCAAGAAATAATAAGATCACAAAACAGACACACATCCCAAAAGAGAACAAGAAATACACCTTCTTTATATTTGTAATGGAGAAAGAAATTGTTTCCCTTTAAAGTGATAGAAATAGTGATAGTCCTGTATTTTGTTTCCCTTTAAAGTTCTCAAAAAAGTTGTACATTTGAAGGTTTGGCTTCTTGCTCAGTCAGTCTTCAATACAAAAACATGAGGTAATCTTCCACTCAGAGGTTGCACAACACAATTGCTGCAAATGCTATCTGATCTTGGGACCAAAAAGTTGATTTTCATCTGTACCTTGGCCAAGAAAAGGAAATGGATGCTAAAAAGGTAGAAAGTTTAGGAGAAAGAGGTACATTTTCTCTCTCTCTACAACACCTCTCTCAAGTGACGCAGAGTAGAATTGGCAGAATCCAGGCCCAAGTGCGCCCCACACTTTGCCAGAATAAGACTAAGACTGACATGATATGCAGTCAGTGAGGAAGGAAAAAAAAAGAAGATTGAGGAGGAACAGTTTTTTTAAACTATGAGCATAATGCTAAATACCAGAGCTGAAGTTATGACAATGGACATTAAACAATCTAAACTAAACTAAGTTGGATCCAATAAATTATTCCCTTATGTCAAGTAGAGAACCTGGCTTTTTGCAAAGTGAACTCATGCTTCACCAATTTACAGGAATTCTCTTCATGCTTACAAGAATGATCTAGTTGCTGTCTTGGACTTGCCACAAAGGCTGTTAAGCAAAGTAAGGCTAAAAACTAGGAAACAAAAGGAAGGACTGGTTAGTTAGTTTCCACAGTGGAGAGGTAGGTAGTGTGGTCCCCCCAAGGATTTGTACGGGGACTTGTGCTGTTCAACATATTTATAAATGATCTGTAAAAGGGGGTAAACAGGAAGGTGGCAAATACACAGTTACTCAAGATATAGTTGTAGCACCTTAAAGGCTAACAAAACACGTAGATGGTATCATGAGCTTTCGTGGGTGCAACCCAAGCTACAACCTGCATGTTTTGTTAGTCTTTGAGGTGCTACTAGACTATTTGTTGTTTTTTAAGTTTTTCCTATTACAGACTAACTCGGCTACCCCTCTGAAGCTTTTACTCAGGATAGTTAAGTCCAAGGCTAGCTGTGAAGAATTACAAAGGAATCTCAACCAGACAACAATATGGCTGATGAAATTTAGTGTTGATAAATGCCAAATAATGCATATTGGATGGCATAATCCAAACTAGGTATGATAAGGTCTAAATCAGTGGTGGGCAACCTGCGGCCCATTGGGATTCTGTGTGTGGCCCACAAGACATTTTCTTGATGATTAACCACCATCTGTGTATTTTTTTGCTACTGGTTTTACTAGACTGACACACATTTAAAGCAAGGGCACATGAAGCGAGGTGCATGCTGATTGCACACCACGTTGATTGTGAGAGCCATATGCTCCTCTGTATCCAATCAAAGTACTGCTATCGTTCAATGGGCACATTCCACAAATTCTAGGTACACAAGCACAGTTAGCAAAACTACCCTTTTCTGGGAGACTATTTTGGTTATGCCAATCAATTAATGGTTACAACTCAAAAGAGCTTGGAGTCAAAGATCTCTGAACATATCTGTTCAGTGTGCATATGCAGTCAAAAATGCTAACAATCTTAGGAACCATGAGGAAAGAGTTATATAATAAGGCAGAAAATATGCCACTATATTAATGTATGATGTGCATTTACCTTGAATACTTTGCTCAGTTCTAATTTGAGTTCTAATCTTCTTTGAGATGGGGAAATCAGAATTGGAAAAAGTATGGCGAAAAGGTTAAAAAAAAAGATAATTGAGGGCATGGAACAGCTTCTGTGAGAGGAGACATTAAAAAGTGGGGACTGTTACACTTAGATTAGAGACTACTAGGAGGGGATATGATAGGCATCTATAAAATCATGAATAGTTTGTAGGGGAGAAAGAAGTGCAATTTACCCCCTTGCATAACACACATTCAGGGGTCACCTAATGAAATCAATAGGCATCTATCTTAAAAACAAACATAAGGAAGTACTTCTTCACACAGTGCATAGTTAACCTGTGAAACTTGATGCTGGGACAAAAGGAATAAACAGTAGCGATGTTAAATAGTGTGTAATTGAATAGTCATGTAACCACATCAAATTTTAGTGGTTACACGACTATTCTATAGTCCCAGGGGCAGGGCTGGCAGCCAGTGCACTCACAGCCCCACTCCTGTGGAGCCCCCTGCTACCCAATGCTGCTGCCTCTGCACTGTCATCTCCGATACAGAGGCAACAAGGGGTGGGGGGGAGGAATGCATGTAGTCAACAGGATTAACTAATAAGTCCAAACTTATTGGTTAATTGTGTGGTTGTCTATGTCTACATGCTGACATCCTTAAACAATAAGAGTTCAAAAAAGAAATTAGACAAGTTCATGGAGTACAAGTCCAGCAATGGCTATGAGCCAAGATGATCGGGGTACATCCCTATGCTCTGGGTATATCTGAACCTCAGATTGCCAGAAATTTGGGACTAGATTACCAAAAAAAAAAAATCAATTATTATCTTTTTGTTCATTTCCTATCGACCATCTGTCTCCAAACACCGTAAGAAGACAGGATACAAGAACATCAATCCACTGTGACCATGCTTCAGTTCTTGTTGTTTTCTGTCACCTCTCATTCCCCAAAAATGACATTTTCCCCAAAGATTGTAATCAGTTTACATAACATAGTTTGAAAGTTTGAAAAATCACCCAAGCACGTTTGCATGATGATGTATACTTTTGAGATGGCAGCAAGCAATATTCTAATAGTTCTTTGTGTGGTGTCATGAATGAGGACAATTACATAGAAAAAGATCTCCAGGCACTGAAAACAAATTCTGAATGCCAATGAACACAAAAGCATGGTCTAGCGGCAGTTGTTATTGTTCTAATCTTTTGTCAAAGCCCTTCATGAAAGCCCATTGAGAAACAATGGGAACTAAGTATACAGTGGGCACTAAAACAACTACTCATGTCCCCCAGAATAATTTTCATTATTTTTTTCTAGCATCCCCACCACCATCTCTGGCGCCTACAGACAATCACCAGCTGGTTCCCTCTGGTGCTACGTGCCTCTGGTCGGGGAGGAGATTTTGGATGCCCCAGGTCTCAATTGGGCTTGGGGCAGGGGATTGGCAGGGCAGCTGGGGGACAGCTGCACCAGCTTGGCAGGCTGCATCTGGCCCTGGGGGGTTCTCTTGCCCACCCCCGTCTAATCCAATGGCTGCAAGATCCTAGCTGTGTTTACCAACTGCAGTTACAATGCAAAGGTTGCAATTCAAATGCTATTTTAATTATTCAAATTGATGCTGCTGAACCTCAATGAATGTATGGAGTCACACAAAGAGTTTTGATTTTATTTTTCTACTTCATGAAAACAAAATGACAAGTTATACTACATGGTTATTACAGACACTAAATCACGTTAAAGCCAGTGCAGTATAGAACAGTACTACAATCATAATATCTATTTGAAGATTAAATATGTACAGTTATTTTTAAAAAGCCAAAAAACACAGAAGTAGAATACATTAGTGATTAAATAGAAGATTATACAGTCTATATAGCAGCTTCTTTCATGTACAACTACTACTTTTAACTAGCAGCAACTTTGTCTAATGACTGTTAGACAGTTTATACTTTCAATCAGTAGATGTTTTCTTCCAATATTTCTTATAGACAGGTAGATGTCTGATCACATTAGCAAAAACTGAAGTTCTATTTAAATCTTTATTGATAATTATAGAAGTAATTAACATGTCACCACCTAAAAGTTATCCTGCTTATACAGTTGACTGGTAATTCTAGCGGAATCTTTTTTATTTATTTACTTTATTTTTTTGGATTAGGAAGAACAAAACAGAGTGTGTGCCTTGCTATATATTTTTCTCCTCCATTATAGACTATGAATGCATGGAAGTTTCCAGGAGGCCTGTCAGACCCAGGAGAAGACATTGGTAAGTATGTATACATCAGCAATGTAAGAGGTCATAACTCCATTCAAGTCCACTGAGTCATGTTCGCTGTGGACAGGACAGTAGTTTCCAGCTATACATCTCAACTTTGGGCTAGATCCACAAAAGAGATACATTTTAAATCCTCAAAATCCTTGCTCAGTTGGCAAACCTCGTTGGCACCTCAGGTGCCCAGGCAGCTAAATTTCTGCCACTTGACATGCACACAGCTGCATGAAGTTATAAGGAGGTAGAAGGTGGCACCACCATCTTTCTTCTCATTATAGATATTTTGTTTCAAAGGACCTAGATCTGTAATTCCAGTAGAGAATTCAAAGTTGTGAATCCAGAGCAGAAGAGTCTTCTCCCTCTGGCCTGGACTTAAGGACTCAATTGAGGAGTAGGACTTTTGGCATTTCTTACTAGCAACCTTAGGGAGCTCTCCACTCATCTTGCTGGCTTTACTGGGTCCCATTCTTAGGTGGATAACTCTGCTCATGGCTTGTATAGAGATACAAGGCACCTGATTTGAGCCTGGGATTTCACAAGGCATCTAAATGTTAGATGTAGGCATTGCAAAGATTAAGTCCTCTTTGTGGCTCTAGCCCTCCAGTCATCATATGCAGGTTAAACCTCTAGTCCAGAACTTTGGTCCAGAAACATGTGGTCTGGAATGTTTCAGTTAGCTAGGTGTCCACTTTTCATGGGTGTGGCCCCAAGTTTCCTGCGGTCCCATAACATTTGTTTACAGCCACCATTCCTAGCTCTCGGTATTCTGTGCTGTTATTTAGCTCTAATTTACCCCTATGCTCTGGTCTACACTAGGGAGTTATTTCAAAATAACTCCTCTTATTTTGAAATAAGCAGAGCGTCCACACTACCAAGCCCATTATTTCCAAATAAGGGGCTGGTCATTTCAAAATAAAAACTCCTGCTTTCCACAAGGAATAACCCTTATTTCAAAATAATCGAAATAACAGTAGTGTGGACGCTCCACTGCTGCTATTTTGAAATAACTACTCCCCAGAGTCATTCAGAGTAATTACTCCCCAGTGCTTCCTGGAGTTTTAAGTCACGGTAGCACTCCACATTAAGAGAGCCTGCCTCAAACTAATTTCAAGGATTCCTTGTAGTGTGGATACCCTATTTCAAAATAGTTATTTCTAAATAAGTTATTTTGAAATAATTTCCTAGCGTAGACATACCCTTCACGTCCTCTAATGCCCAATAAGCAATGGAAAAGTGGTAATGCTGCTACACAATACTGACCTCTCATGGTCTGGAAAACTCTGGTTCAGAACTGGTTAGGTCCCATGGGTGGGAGCCTAACTAGAGGTTCAACCTGTACCAATTCTGTTCCTTCACATACTTATTACAGAATTGAGCTTCAGTTGATGTTGCATGTATATTTTGTGAAACATGAGTTTACATATCAAATATTTATGCCACAGTCACATATTGTATGCTTTGCCTGTACCAGAATTGGAATCTGGTTAGACAAGGATGGAAAGGGAAGGGTCCGAGATAGAAGGGGACTTTGGAGGAACTTTCCATTATTAAAGGGCAAAGAATGCCCAGCATGGACCATAGCTCCATCATAGGAGTGCTGAACACACGAGTGCCAGGGACACATCTCAGAAAATAGATGAAGCTGTAGATGCAAGGGGTGACAGCAAATGACTTAAAAAGAACTGGAAATATATATATATTCTTTAAAGTTTCCTTCATACCAACATTAAAATATTAATATGCAGTGTAGCAAATAGTTACTATATTTTAAGATATAAATTAATGAAGCATGAAATATAACAGAATAGAACTTTATTTTTCCTTCATTTACATTAAGCCTCAAACATTTAAAGGCTTAATTTTGAAAAAACTGGAGTGCAGTTACCATGCTTGGAGATTCGTTATGGGAACCAATTAAGCACTACATTTGAATGCATTTTGGGGCTTGCTGATTTTGGAAACTCAAGCCCTAAATATTCCTTCTATTTTAACTTGTCATAGTATTTTAAAATATTTAAAAATAAGATAACTACACCAAGACACTATCTTGAACCAAAGCTCAAATCTCAACTAAAATCTCTGGTCTAATGATTGCCTTACTTTTAGCATGATCTCCCTCAGTATCCCTGATTTCCATCCTTCCCCCCTTTATGTCGACAGAGGCCTCACAGTGTATTTATGTAGGAAGTTGCTTAATTTTCTCTTCTGTTCACCAGTGAAGACTTGAACTCCTCCGCTCCCTCCCATCCCCTTCAAATTAGGACTTCCAGTGATTCCAGCCCAGAGGAGACAGAAGTAGTAATTGATCCACCTGTCAGTAAAATCTTTACCACTGTGTTAGAGACCTGGAGCTGAAGTGCTTCCACACTCCTCCTCCCCCAGTACTCACATAGAGATGTAGTGTAGCTTTGTAATTGATATTGTAATAAAATGCTCTGCAGACATTTGTATAGTAATGTCCCCCCAACCCTGCAGACACCTGCTCATATGTCAAACTTAACACATGCAACTAGTTCAGGAAAGGCAGTGCAGTTATTCGTTCACTTAGCTTTAAGCACACACAAAACTGTTTGCAGGTTCTGGGCCATCTGCAGGAAAGGCTATTAGATTTTTCCTATTGTTTGTTATTGTACGTCCTGAAATTATTTTCAGTGTTATTTAAAAAAATTCAAAATGTATATCTTGTATACTTCTGACTTCAAGATGGTTTGCAGGTGAGGAAGAATCATGAAAAGGTTATTTAAAATTAATGTAATTTTCTGTTAAATATAAACTAACATTCTGATTACTAATTAACTGCAGCAAATAGCTTTGCAAAATAGCAATGTGCATTTAAGCACCTCAAACACAAAACCTAGTCATGGGTTTGTGAACTTTTTCATGACCTATGAACAGTTAACTTTTGGAAGATAAGGAAATTAAAGCCCTCTTTGGATATTTGATTTTCATTGCCATTCAGAGTTAATTCTAGCTTTTGGTTAGTGCAGGGACTGGATCTAAAGACGGAGCGTGAATCAGTTAACCTGCCAACCTGGTTTTTGGGCCCTGACTCAGCAAACTCCTTAAAAATGTGCCTACCTTTAAGCACACATAGAACTTTGCATGTGCTCAAGGACATTCCTGGACTGGGCCTAGGTTACTGTTTCTTTTTCCCCTCAAACTCCTACAGATTTTTACTAGAAGGTATGTAAAATGGTTTCAATCTTCTCTTGGTCGGTATACAGAAGATTTACATAAGCAAATTTAATAGGACTTATCTATAGGAATTCCCTCTGGATCAATAGATTTCATGATATGTTGGCAAAAAAATAACTAAAGTGTCATTATAGACATTGAAGAATACATTTGTAAAAGGGCTGAAGTGCTCCCACATTCTGTAGGGTCACGGTTTTCACACTGTGTAAGATGAATGGTATACTTATGCCACTAAACTAGTTTATTTGCTCTCACAATCAGATACAGTTGGAACTGCTCAGATGCAACATCAAGATCAGCCTTTGAAAATAAACCTAAAATGTATTATTAGGGTCAAAGAAAAATGAAAATATTTATCAAATATCTTTAGATAAGAGCTAGGTATACTGCCTTGGTGCATCGGTTTCAGAGCTATAACTGTACTTGTACAGTATTTAAGGAACATTCATCATTTTGTAGGTTATCCACAAGGAAAGCAAAATAGTCCATTGTAATTAGTTTTGTTCCGTGGGCCAAAAACCGAACTTACTGTAGTGTTAGAGTTTATAGTTTTTATAGTTTCACAAAGGTGTTACCATCAGCAATGCTTTAGGAATGGGAAATCTTTCACAATGAACAGTTCTTAAAATGTAGTCTCCTCTTACATGTACTGTAGGAATTTCTCTCTCCAACTAGGAGACACAGCAGTTCGAGAGGTTTTTGAAGAGACTGGCATTAAGTCAGAATTCAAGTCCCTCTTAAGCATAAGGCAGCAACACAGGCACCCCGGAGCCTTTGGGATATCAGATATGTATATCATCTGTCGCCTGCAGCCTTCCTCATTCAACATCAGCTTCTGCCAGCAAGAGTGCATGAGGTGCGAATGGATGGATCTTGAGGAACTTGCCAAGACCAGAGAGGCTACTCCCATTACCAGCAGTGTAGCTAAACTGCTCCTTTATGGATACAGAGAAGGGTTTGATAAAATTGATATTACCATGAGAGAATTTCCAGCTGTTTACAAAGGCTTATTTTATAAGCTGTACCACAGGGAACTTCCAGATACTTATAAAATCACAACAGAATTGTAATAAGCTTCACATTTTACTAAATGAATAATTTAGAATGGATATGTTTAAATTTTGGACTTACTTGTACCAGATTAAAAATATTCCTGGACTTTGTGCTTGCTAAAATTCAATGTTTACTTTTATATTTTCTAGTAAGATATATAGAGATATATTTCTTTTAAAAAGGTAAATATTCTTGTAAATGTGTGCACATCTTTACATTTTCTTTACAATGTAAAGCTAACATAAGGCTAATATAGTAGCTCTAAGTAGAGGAAAATAGATGGAACACTGATTTTTTTAATTTCTGTATGTTTTCCTAGTGCTTTCCTCTGCACACTGGCACAATTGTTTCAAAACTTACAGTAACATTAAGGTTATATTATTCAAACTTATTTAGTCATCTGACATCTGCAAAAATCATAGTTTACTACTTTTGGAAGTAACAGCGGAAACTACCAGTTACTATGTTGTGGCATAGATTTTAGAATCCACCTCTGAAATCAGCTTTTGGCGGACATTGGAAGAAAAAGAATAGCTTTCTGTCCTGGTCCAGTTTTTGGTCCGAGTTTGTACTGTCCAGTTCTTTTCAGTGCCACATACCAATCAGAATACTTCCGTGACCGGTAAGTGTTGTAGTTGTTTGATTCCAAGCGCTCAAAAAAGAAACATTCTTCAGTTGCAAATTTCTGAAAGGGAAAGAAAAAAAGATGTTAGAGGCTCTGACTTATTTTAAGTATAGATTTTGCTGAAACTGCATGCACAGTCCAATTGACTTTAAAGAGTAGCATTCTTATGTGCTTTTCCTTAATAGGAATGGGGTTATTCACATGTTTAAGTACTTTACAGAATCAGGCCTAGAGGAACAAATAGTGCTACATGTATTATTCTGCCTCCCTCTCCCCCGCCCCAGCCTCACAGATCCCAAGATGAGGCAACTAGCTGTAGGTTTAACCACCTTCCTTCACCACTGCTCTTTTATTCTGGCCTCAAGGACAGGAACAGAGAATCAGGTACCATCGCTCATACTTGTCAACCATCAGTGAAATACTTAGGATGCTGAAGCATACACATACTGTAATACCTTTTCATTGACACGTTTCAATTAAATGAGCGAACTTTGGACAGCCAAAAGCCTCACTCATTTTTTCCTTTCTTCCCATTAATGCCCACAGAATCCCAGCACACCATGTTCCCAAGAACCCATTTCCCCATTCGGTCTCCATTACATCCCACACAAACACAGAGCTTTATCAAGTATTGGTATCATTTATCTATGGTACTGCTTATTATGTGCTAAACATATTCCAAGCGCTCAAGAAGAATGGTACCCTCTCTAAGGAGACATGAACCAACACTGGCGAAGGGAAACAACAATATACAGTGGAACCTCAGAGTTACACAAACACCCTGGGAATGGAGGCTGTGCATAACTGAACTAAAGATTACAATTGTGCTTTCACAAGTTTACAACTGAACATTGGTTTAATACTTTACTATACAGAAGAAAAATGTCTTTTAACTATCTTAATTTAAATTAAATAAATCACACAAACGGTTCCCTTACCCTTGTCCAATCTTTTTTTTTAAAAAAAAACTTTCCCTTTATTTATTTAGTAGTTTACATTTAACACAGAACTGTACTATATTTGCTTTTTTGGTTTCTGCTGCTGCTTGATTGCATACTTCCGGTTCCAAATGAGGCATGTGGTTGAATAGTCAGTTCATAACTCTAGTGTTCATAACTCTGAGGTTCTACTGTATATATACAAATCAAATTATTTCTCTGGAAAGCAGCACAGCAGAAGTGTTTTACTCCTTCCTAAACCTGTTGAACAATGCTCACCAAACTGAAGCCAAGTGCAATTTGAAATGTGTTTTTCTTTATAAGAGCCTTTAGAGTTTGCTACTTATTGTTGAGAGATATTACTCTTACTTTGAAAAAATCCTGCAAGCTCTTTAGAACCAATAAGCTTTTATCTTTCACTTGACAAAGTTTAACAAATGCAGCTAAAGATTCCATGACTCACGTTTCCAGGAAAGCAAGGGTTTCCTGTGTCACCAAGACGCACGCCATCCCTGCAGTACAAAGGGTGATTTGTAGTGATTTTCTGATGCCAAGTATTTCCCCACTTCCATATTTATCTCTCTAGCATCTGGAATTTTTAATTACTCCAATCTTCTTCTCCAATGTCCAGAAGAAAAAACCATCTCTGAACTCCTATACCAGCTAATCCATTCCCATTTCTCTTCTGCTGAACAGTTTTACATATAGAAGAAACCCCTGCTCCCTCCGAACCAGAGTCTGACACCATCACTTGTGCTAAACAGTACCATGCTCTACACGTAACCCCACTGTTATAAAGGAGTCTAGTTGAGTACGTGATTGAAGGCATCAAAATTAACCCTTAGATTCTACATCTTTGGAACTGTTGCACTGAGACGTTTACATAAGCCACTGCTGAACTAGGCAGGTTTTAATGGCTGTTAGTAGTGAGGGGAGAACTGGTAGATTTCTTCTCCCTCTGGATTTCACCAGAGAAGAAATACACCCCTTTTCCTCCACTTCAACAAAGAAAAGGAGAGGAAACAAAAACAAGGGAAAAACACACATCAACAAACTTAAATACTGTGTTATTGGGAAAACTTAAAAAACAACAAATGGTCCAGTAGCACCTTAGAGACTAACAAAAAATGTAGACAGTATCATGCATGAGCTTTCATGGGCACAACCCACTTCTACAGATGAATGTAGCAAGAGCGCTTGTTATTGGGAAGCACTCATCTCTCCTCCTCTAGTTAGCAATACTGCAGCCACACTGTGCCACTCAGTTAACCTTTTAGGCCCAACTAACACTGACTCTTGTACAAAGGCAAAAGCCCATTGTGCTAGGGTTCATTGGATTGCAGGATTGTCTCCTTAAAGGGGAGGGAGAATTTCAAAGGAAAGGAACAGAGTATTAATTAAGAGAAAGCACTACCATCCTTTCATATCTCGTCTGTATCACACAGTCACACATTTACCATCCAACAGAAGTTCTTCAAAGGACAGTATAAACTAATCATTAAAAGAAAAAAATATCTGAAATCTTAGAATGGAATAAAAAAATGGACAATCCAAAAGATATCCCTAACCGAGAGTCCATCTGCCAAGTTGGTTACTCATAGAACTGCTCTACTGCTTTAGGACCATTACTTAAAAACTGAAGCATAGAAGTACAAGTAAACCCAAACCTGAAACCCACCAGGCTTGAAATAGTATGCATGTGAACATACATGGGATAATCTTGAATCCTAACATTTGTGTCAGGTTTCTGTTGCTATGAGCAACTAAATGCACAACTACAGTATGGAATAAGCAGTCTGCTGTGTATTAAAAGCTTAACCAAACTTCGGGCTCTAAATATAGGTTTTGGCAGTAGAATATAGATATTTGCAGCCATTTCTGCATACTACTCTTGATTTCTGAAGAATTTTGAATAGAGTCCATGTGCTGGACTTCTCATGTACCTCTAAATCATTAACATTCAAAACATTTGAAATAGTAAAATCAATATTGCATGATGCTTTGGGACCTAGCCCCAAAAGAGAAAAGATTGCAAATTCAGAGTCTAACATTCACCAAGAACCTTTCACAGCACTTCATTTGTGCGCAAACATGTGCATTAATCATCTCAGCCACCACTGAAATGGAGCCAACTCTAGAGCTGTAAAAGGACACAGCAGAACTGCACAAGGCAAGGAGGCTAAAAACCACTGAATTCAGTTCAGGCTGGAATCAGAATTTATGTAGATTCAATATAGCCAAACTGGACATTCAACTAAGGCTTTCGCAAGAAAATACAAAGGAATCGCTATGGTTACGTCTATGTTGCAATTAAACACTTATAACTGGCCTAGACCAGCTGACTGAAGCTCTTGGGGCCTGGGCTAAGAGGCTATTTAATTATGGTATAGACATTCAGGCTCTAGGGCCCTGTGAGTTGGGAGGCTCCAGTCCAAGCCTGCATATCCATACTCAATTAAACAGTGCCTTAGCCCAAGTCAGCTGGCATGAGCCAGATGTGGGTGTCTAATTTCAGTGTAGACATATTCTAAATGACTTCAGGTGGTCAGGACCTTGGTTTTGCAGATTATCCAAAAGGTGACACCTCCAGCAGCACCATTTCCATTCACATCATGTTGAGGCATTGATTGCAAAACTTCTCTTAAAATATCAATTCCATGTCAGTCTCCTATCAAAGCAATGGCCAGACAACACTGCGCTTTGGAAGTCATATAAAAGAGTAAACTCAAGGATGTAGAGGGGTAGCTGTGTTAGTCTCTAAGGTGCTGCAGGACTATTCATTGTTTTTTCAGTTACAGACTAACAAAAACTGGAGATGGTATCACGAACCTTCATGGGCACAACCCACTTCGTTTGCTAGCCTTACAAACAGGCTGGGTGGTTTAATAGTCTGACTAAAAATGGAGTTTACTGAAGATGCAACGTGAGAACTAGAAAGGAACTGTAGTTAGAACAACCACTTGGAGTCTCACTTTTTTCATCCCTGAGTGGAGTAAGCAGTATTAATGGAGCTGGCAACATTAAGATTACTGCCCTTCCAATTTAGAGAATAAGCCTGTGATCATATTATACATGTAAAAGGCACCGCTAAAGAGGGAAAATGGGTATGTGCTTTTTCTTCTTTATGATGGTCTGAATTATTTTTCTTCCAGACTTCTAAGTTTTCAACATTAGGAATTCTGGTCTTGTCTGTAAAACTACATATGACTAGCAAACTGATAAGATTATAACAGGAGATATCATGCAGGTGAAACTTAATCGAAAAGGGAAGTGCTTTTCACTCAGACTGCTTACAATTTGTATTAACATCCAGTTTAACTATAAAGGTCTTAGGCTCCAGCTTCCAACTCATCCAAAGAAGTGGGTTTTGGCGAAAAAAAAGATCATGATACTATACATACTTATGTTAGTTTATAAAGATGCCACAGGCCTACTTGTTGTTTATAAAGGTCTTAAAAATGCATAGGGGAAAAAATTCTCTTAAAAACCACCAACCCTGTTGCCTCCTTTAACAGCGAATAGAAGCTTGCAATCCGCATCTGGGACTTTCAATGAGTTCTCCCACCAAAACCAGATTTGCCACTCCTGATATTTTTCAGGGTAAATAGATAAAACTCCAAAAGAGACTTCAAGACACAAGATAAGACCAACAATTATTTAAGAATATTTAGGGTTTGTCTACATAGTCAGTGCACATCAAGCCAGGGATTAGATCTACAGTGCTCTACCCCGCCATGCACTAAGTCATATAGACAAATTCTTAACTGTAAAGGGTTCTAGACTCAGGGATGTTAAATTTAGATTAATTAACAGTTCGAAAGCAGAAGCCTCGCAGGGAGTGCAGGGCCAGCAGGGGACCCACTCATGTGCTAACAGGTCATGGTTAAGACCAGGAGTGAGCAAGATAGCGTCTGTGGGCCGGATCTGGCTCACCAAGCTAGTTGATTCGGCCCATGGCCACCCTGCTGCTCCCCCGCCCCCAAGACAATTGAGACCTAGGGATGACACAAAATCTCCTCCCCCCACGAGGGGCATGCAGCACCATAGGGAACCACCAGCTGGTGGTTCTCTCTAGGCGCCATGTGCCCCTAGCAGGGTAGGAGTGAGGGGGCAAAGACTTCACACACTCCCCCACCCTCAGGCCAATCAAGGTCTGTGTGGGGGAGCACATGAATTCTCCTGGCCCCGCCCCTTCTGCCTGAGGCCCTACTCCTTCTGGTGCAGCCCAAGACCACTTCCAAAATTTGTGAAGTAGCCTCTCTTCAAAAGTTATTGCCCACCCCTGGTACAGAGTAAGTGTGACTACGGCTTGGGAAATGAAAATTAGTCTCTTACCTGCACTCTTTTGGAGCATACCCCTATTACATGGGGTTTGTATAAAAAAAAAAAAAAAATTCTCCCTAAAAAAAATGAGTTTTGGGAAATGTATGCGCATCTTTAGAAATGGAGTCTGTAACTTCAGCACTTCCTAGTTTCCTGGAAGCAAGTGTGATTAGAAAGAACTTGAGAGGTTGAACTCCTGCACACTGCTACAGGAAGCAAACTCTGAGAGCTTTAAACTAGGTTTGTCGGGGGTTTGTCGGGGGCAGGTGAGCAAAGCCCACAGGTAAGTGCTGAATGTGCGGGACTGGGAGATGGGTTGGAAATGGGGGGGGGACTACGGCCTATAATGGCAAGGAGAAAGGAGGGTCAGGGCACAACAGGGAGGCAAGATCAAATCAGTATCTTAGATGCCTATATACAAATGCGAGAAGTATGGGTAATAAGCAGGAAGAACTGGAATTGCTAACCAATAAATACAACTATGATATCATTGGTATTACAGACACCTGGTTGGATGGGACGCATGATTGGAATATTGGTATGGAAGGGTACGGCTTGCTCAGGAAGGACAGACAGGGAAAAAAGGGAGGAGGGGTTGCCTTGTATATTAAAAACGTACACACTTGGACTGAAGTGGAGATGAACGTAGGAGATAGCTGTGTAGAGAGTCTCTGGGTTAAGCTAAAAGGGGTAAAAAACGAGGGTGATATCATGCTAGGAGTCTACTACAGGCCACCTAGCCAGGTGGAAGAGGTGGATGAGGCCTTTTTTAAACAATTAACAAAACTATCCAAAGCCCAAGATTTGGTGGTGATGGGGGACTTCAACTATCCAGACATATGTTGGGAAACTAACACAGCGAGGCACAGGCTATCCAATAAGTTTCTGGACTGCATTGGAGACAACTTTCTGTTTCAGAAGGTTGAAAAAGCTACCAGAGGAGAAGCTGTTCTGGATTTGGTTTTAACAAATAGGGAGGAACTAGTTGAGAACTTGAAAGTGGAAGACAGTATAGGGGACAGTGATCACGAAATAATAGAGTTCATGATCTTAAGGAAAGGTAGAAGGGAGACCACCACAATTGAGGTTATGGATTTCAGGAAGGCAGATTTTGATAAGCTCAGAGAACTTGTAGGTAAGGTCCCATGGGAAGCAAGACTGAAGGGAAAAACAACTGAGGAGAGTTGGA